GGCAAAGTCTTTCTTTGTTAAAGGAAATTCTCCCTGGTGGAAGCGAGTCGTAGGATACATTCCTGTCCTAACTGACCAATATTTAACTGGTGAACTGACCAAATATTTTTTTGATCAGTCAGACTGGCAACCCTAAGATTATGTAACAAAATACAAGTGTGTTCCAGACAATCTTAAGAATACTGATGTTCCATTGGCTGCAATGAAAGAATTAAGCATGCCCTTTTAATTCTTTCCCAGTTGAAACTGGAACCTTAAGGTGCTTAACCTGGCTAGATGGTGCCATATAAGGGTTTTTAATTAAATTTTGAATGGTTTTTTAAAAATCAATGAGGAATAAAAGAAGGAAGAAGACAGATATAACTTTTGTAATTTTCTTCTAAGAAGAAAAGATATGCTTTGACGAATGTTGTCTAATCTTGTTGCAACGAATAAAACTTAAGTTTGCGGCGATAGTTCTAGTATTCCAGTGCTCAGTTGATGGCAGCCAGGAATCAGTCTTCTTCTTTTTTTTTAAACACTCAAAAAACGTATGCCTTAGTAATCAAAATTCTGTACCAAGAAAAGTCAGAATCCGTGACCTGTATAAATCATGCAAATTGATTCAATTTGCATAATTTATTCTGGTTTTTCTAGTCACAGAAGGGCAAGAAGATAAATGCATCCCTAAATTTGTTGGAAATGTTATTCAATCATCCCTTTGGCTTCTGGATTTCAGCATATCTGGTCCATGTATTTAAGCACATATCTGCAGTGATAAGGACTAGAAACTTGCCTTGTTTTAAAAAAGCAGAAGAGAAAGCTGAGATGCTGAAGCTGATGTCTGTATCAAATCCGACATTCTATGCTTCCCCCCCGCTTTGTGACAGAATCACAGCATTCATGTACCCCGATGACAGAGTTTTTAGTTTTGCCAATGAAGCAAGCGAAAGCTTGCTTATAACAAAGGGAATATCTTGAGGGGGGGGGAATACTGTTTCACCCACACAGATTTGGAAGTGCGATTTAAGACAAAACATGATCAAAGCTGCAACAAATGTAGGGGGGGATTGGAGAATATCACGTGTCTCGTGACGAACTAAGAAGAAAGTGCTATCGAAAACGCATAGGTTGTACAGAAATGCGATGTGTCATCATCATAATTGGATGCAACTGGGAAGCAATCCCCTACTATTTCTTCCAGTTGAAAATAAATTGAGCATATTGTAACAGTCAAAATTACAACACACAAGGATGAATGAATATATCTATATAAAATCTTCAAATGCTACCTTAAGGATGCACAAATGGAAAGAAAAAGGAGAGACTGGGGTGGGGGGTGGGATATGAGTATTGCTTTGTCCAGGCTTCGTAGGAAGGTAAACAGAACTCTGAAGACAGATCTGCCTTGAAATATCATAAACTGCAGGAGTGCAGAAATCAGGCTGATCAGCAAACATCCTGTTCTCAGGGAATAAAATCAGCATTAAAAGCATTTGATTACATTTCTGTATTGTTTATACAGGCCTGGCGGGATCTGGTCCATGGGGTCACGAAGAGTCGGACTCGACTGTGCGACTGAACAACAACAAATTGTTTTAAAGATGTTTCATTACGTTGCAGTGGGAAGCCTACAGCAACTGGAGCAATCCATGAGCTTTGCACAGGTTGAATTCCCCCCAAACTGTGAGCCAAAGCTCTTTTCATGACACTTTGATGTTCCCAAGTAACTTGGACCAGCTCTTCCAAGAATCATCCAGGCCATGAGAAATCAAACCACACAATCACATCTGATTTGGATACATAGTTTTTATATTTATATATATATGCAGAGGAGCAGATCAACCACAGGCAAACAGACTTTAAAGTCAAAAATCTATGCTTTCCAAGGTATCAACTGTTTTAACTTGGCAAACACTTAGGCTCAACATACAATGAACTTACAAAGCTGCCTTATGCTATAGTTGCCAGGAATTTTAGAATGTGTGCACAGAATGTGTATACAGTTTCCCTCTAATGCACGGTTCTGTGGAAATAAATACGAAGCCAACCTTTCCAATGAATCTTACCAGATTCCCCTTTTTACTAGAGTTCCCCTTCCCACATGGCTTTTTACACATGTAGGTCCCATGAGGTATAGCATATCCCTTTTGGGGTGGCCCAGGGGGATTCCTTTTAGAGCAGCAGAAAAGCAGGTTGGATCCAACCCAATATCTATATCATGGAAAGAAGGTTTAACTGTGGGAGATCCAGGCCACATACCCCATCGAGCTATGGAGCCAAGCTAGGTTCCTTGAAGATCATCTTTAACCCTAATCACCTTCCAGAAAGTATAGCAGGGCTATTAAACTAGGTAAGAACTACAGATGTTGAATGTGCAATATACATAACCACTGTTGACTCGACCAAAGTGTGGCACATAGTTTCCATGCAGTTATGCAGGACTTCCCAGGAACAAACATCAGCAGCAGGCAGGCTAAACAGTGGCCATGAGACAGCATCCAATAATGTGCCTGTAAACAGCTTCCTGGCCAGTTCAAATGGAAGATTTGGAACTCTCATCTTAGGTAATGCTGATTGCATCACTCTACACCAGCAAAAATATCTCTGGTCTGAACTTCATTTCTTTATAAGTTGGATCCAGTGATCCATGGGTGTGAAAGTCTGAGGATATTTCCCTTGTTCCCCAGAAGCCATTTCTGGTCCTGTGAAAGTTGCTATGTGGGTTGGGGGGCTGCACTGAATAGAAATCACCCTCTCCTCTTTTTTTCCATTAGAGCACACACACCCATGTAGCCACCTGCTGCCCTGAATTTCTGTTAGTTCACGTGGGCCCTAATACCCTAGGAATCAACTTCCCCTACCCCGGCAGTTCTTTCCAACCCAGGGAAACAAGGCTGGGTAGCTATGTTAGTCTGCAGTAGAAGAGCAAGGTTTAGTTCCAGTAGCACCTTAGAAAACAGCAAGATTTCCAGGGTAGAAGCTTTCAAGAGTCAAAGCTCCCTTTGTTAGATACGGGGCAGGGTACATCTGTCCAATCCAGTCCTATTGCTGTTCCTTCAACCATTGTCATGAACAAGAGCACACAATCAGGTAAAGTAAACCAGGCAAATGGCTCTTTAGTAGGGATGGGCACGAACCTCATCACAAAACTACATTCCTTACGAAAATCACTGAGTTGTGGTTTGCAAACCGAGGTTCGTGCCCATCCCTACTCTTTAGATATGCTGTGCTATAACAGCTGCCAGATATTTGGCTAGCTCAGGGCCGTAGCCAGTGGTAGGGCTTTGGGGGTTGAGCCCCCTATCAATTATGCAGAGCCCCAGCAGCAGGAAGAGCTGGGGAGGGGTGAGTGGAAGGAACGAGGGTTACAGAAATAGCTTCGGGACGCCGCAGTGGTATGGCTCAAGCTCTTCCCTCCTCCCCCTCTCCGCAGGCCACACGAGGTTCCGGTCCCCCCGTTCTTCCCTGCAGCCCAGCAAGGAGAGTGAGTGGAAGGTGGAGAGCCCAGCAGGACAGGGCTGAGTCACATGCATGGGCAGGAGCTGCCCTTGTTGAGCTCTACCGGGGCTGCCCCGCAGGATCACCCACCTCAACCCCTGGAGTTTTCGCTGGCTGGATGGAAGGCCAAGGGCCAGGGCTGGCAAACTCAGCTTTGACTCATGCAGAGGTAAGTCAGGCTCATCAAGAGTAGCCATGAAGTCCCCCAGTCCACAGAGAGAAGGATCACCACAGGCCCCAGTGAGGCACAATGAGGCACAATGAGGCGGGGGGGGGGGTTGTCAAATTTAACTTTATTAGCGCTCCCAGAGAAGAAATCCTGGTTACGGGGCTGGGCTTTCTGTACAGTAACTTGGATTTCTACATCTCTTAATGACCAAGGAATTTTCTTATCTGGGGAATCAAAGCCAACTCCAAGTAATGGGAGAATTAAATTTGACCTTAAAATCTGAAATACTGAACAATCTAATATTTTATGGTCAATATTCGATTTGAATCACAGGTACATAAAACTGCATGGGAGGGGCTGTGGGTCAGTGGTAGAGCCGGGTTCAATCCCACTACACAATACCCAGCATCTCCAGTTAAAAGATCTGGCAGTAGGTGATGTGAAAGATCTCTGCCTGAGACCTTGGAGAGCTACTGCCAGTCTGAGTAGACAATACTGACTTGGATGGACCAAGGGTCTGATTCAGTATAAGGCAGTTTTATGTGTCCATGCATCCATCAGCACCTTCCAGTGCTGGGCTGCTGGATCAAATCCATTATAAAAGGTAAAGGTAAAGGTTCCCTTGCTCGAAAGCCAGTCGAGTCCGACTCTAGGGTTGCGGTGCTCATCTCCATTTCAAAGCCGAAGAGCCAGCGCTGTCCGAAGATGTTTCCGTGGTCATGTGGTCGGCATGACTAAACACCAAGGTGCACAGAACGCTGTTACCTTCCCACCGAAGTGGTACCTATTTATCTACTTGCAATTTTTTGCTTTCGAACTGCTAGGTTGGCAGGAGCTGGAACTAGAGATGGAAGCTCACTCCATCATGCAGCACCCGGGTCTTGAACTGCTGAACTACTGACCTTCCACAGCCTGCAGTTCAGCGTCTTAACCACTTGAGCCACCGCAGCTCCCAAATTCATTATACAAACTTACAAAATACAAAGAACTTTTTATAAGTCAAGACAGTAATTTGGGAAACCTGTGGTTCCTTATTGCCTCTATTGATCAACTTAACATACCTCCTAGAATTTCCACACTAATTGAGGATATTACAGAGAATTAAAATCTTTTTTATTTAAAACAAAAAAAACCTTCAATTTTTCTCCTTTCCTGGTCCCATTTCTTTTAGAGAGGGTACAATATGGACAGTAGCTATTCACTTCTATAAGACAAAAACAAGCATGATTGGCAAAGTCATGTTCACATGCTGCTTTAACAGAAAACGTCAATTATCGTCTCCGAAATGGCATCATTACCTTCCCCTGCTTCATTATCAAGTGAGTAAAATGTCAGCTTTGTTTTCTTTTACCTTGCAAATCCTTATGTCCCAGGCTCTGACTTCTGGACTAAATCCTCCACAAATAACAACATTTGGATCAGCAGGGTGAAACTTCAGGGTGCCAATTCGGAACTCACTCCTACCACTAAATACCTGTGCTCCTGAAATGAAGGCAGAAGAGAAGAACGAGGGTTAGGTTTGTTTGTTTTTTAAGAATAATTTACAGTTCCACACATTTTAGTTCTGTGCCCGTTGTAGTAATAAACCCCAACAGACATTTTGAAGTTAGCAAAATAAATCTGAGAATTGACTGATCCTTGCATACATCAGATTCCCCAGTCTGAATTTCATCTGTTGAAGTTAATGGGTGTGTACCCACACTTCAAGAGCTTGCATAGCACATATTCACTGAAGAATGTCTCTGGCCTAACACAGACATAATTTCCTTCTTTCTCCTAACCATTCTTTTCCCTGTGGCTTAACCACAAAGTGCCACAGCTGACTAATGGCAACCCCAGAGGTGGTTTGCCATTGCCTGCCCCTGCATAGCAACCCTGGAATTCTTTGGGGTGGGGCCTCCCCTCCAAGTAATAAACATGGCCAACCATGCTTAGCTTCCAAGATCTGACGAGATCAGGCAACCCTGAGCTACCCAGGTCAGGACTCTCCTTCCCCTACCTTATATCGATTTTAACATCCTTTCCCTTTTCAAAACTAACCATGTTGTTGGGTTACATCTGCAATAATATAATGTTCCCTCTAAGCTGTGGAGTCTTGTCTTGTGAGCAAAAATTCTACTTTGTGAGCTACTGTCATTAAAGTTGTGAGTTTGGCTACTGCATAAATTAGTTTGCTCTGGAGCCATCCTTCCTGAGCTAAGACAAAAATGTGTGAGCCAGAGACTAAAAAACTATGAGCTAGCTCACACTAACTCAGCTTAGAGGGAACACTGGCACCAACCATGTTTAGGTCCTACCAGAATACACAAACCTGCTTCTAGCTGTAATTGCAAAGTTTGGTTTGAAGCTAGCCATGGGTAGCATTAACTGCTGTATATATTATGATGACAGAAGAAGAAGAAGAAGAAGAAGAAGAAGAAGAAGAAGAAGAAGAAGAAGAAGAAGATGATGATGATGATGATGATTTTATGCGTAGCTGTTTTCTACCTTAAGGAGTCCCAAAGCGGCTTACAATAGGCTTTCCCTTCCTCTCCCCACAACAGGCACCTTGTGAGGTAGGTGGTGCTGAGAGGGTTCTGAAAGAACTGTGACTGGCCCAAGGTCACCTAGCAGGCTTCATGTGGAGGAAAAGTGAGGAATCAAACCCAGTTCTCCAGATTAGAGTTCATCGCTCTTAACCACCATGCCACACTGGTAGGGCAGAGAGGAGGAAATTTGTATGAGAAGACAAGAAGGAAAGGAAATGGAAATGCCATTATGCCTGAACTGGGCCTCCATAATAAAGTTCCTGTTGTAGGGTGTTCTCAGAACAAAAGGATGTTTTGAAGTCTGTGTGTACAGTTTATTAAAAATACTAGACTTTTAGATACCACACAAAAAAGTGTTTCTAATCCTTGCTCTTATGAAGACAACACTGAAAACCTGTTTTCTGGAAATGATATGAACTTGTTGCAACCTGCGCTTCCTACAAACATCTGTCTTTGGCAACACATGCGTTTATGAGCAAATATTTTCATTACTGAACCTTGTCAGATAACGATAACACAGATTCCGGCTCGCATTCATTTAACACTGGTGGTATGGCAAACATGGTACAGAATACAGAAAATGGCACAGTCCCTACTTCTAACCGCTCTGGGCCCTGGAGCCTCGAGTCAGCTTCTTCCGTCCATGTTATCAGACAGAATTTGAAAACGCAGAAGAAGCAGGGCAAGCAACCACTAAACTGACAGGGAACAGCTCAAAACAGGTGCCTCGATCGAGCCTTACCAAAGGGTGTGTGAGTGAAGCCGACTTGAGAGGGCTTGCCCCGCCCCCACTCATCCACAAAAATGGAGATGCTCTTAGACACTTCGCAGTCTGTGGTTCTCCCACCTAGGCTTGTCAACCTCCAGGTAGGGTCTGGAGATCTCCCAGAATTCTCTAGATGACTGTGATCAGTTATTCCTAGACAGGGCTTTTTTTGTAGAAAAAGCCCAGCAGGAACGCATTAGCATAATAGGCCACACCCAACAGCAGAAAATCATTAGCATATTAGGCCACACCCTGAGATAGCAGCTTATTAGCATATTAGGCCACACCCCACATTACCAGAAGTGTGGTCATCCAGCCACACCCACCTTTTGCTTCTTATTCTATTTACTTTGTTTGTTGTCAAAACCCAGGGCTTTTTTTGTAGCAGGAACCCTTTGCATGTTAGGCTAAACACCCCTAATGTAGCCAATCCTAATGAGTTTCTGCTGTTGGGTGTGGCCTATTATGCTAATGAGTTCCTGCTGGGCGTGGCCAACTCGGGAGCCAGCCGGAACTCCGTTCCTGTGCGTTCCTGCCCAAAAATAGTCCTGCTCCTAGAGAAATCGCTGCTTTGGAGGGTGGACTGTATGGCACTATGCACCACTGAGGCCCCTCCCCTCCCCAAACCCCATCCTCCTCAGGCTCCACCCCGTCCACCTCCAAGAATTTCCCTACCCAGAGTGGGCAACCCTGCCCCCCCAACCAAAACCACATGCAATGCTGGAATTCTGTGATTTAAGTGCATGCAATTTGCCTCTTAAAACCAGGTACAAGGGGGGATTTGGACTGGGGCCACGGCATTCACAAAGGAGTTATGTCTTCACTCCTGAATCCTTTCCCCAGCTAAAAGGGTTCCCCAAGGTTTCTGTCAGCCTTTGGAAAAATACAGGGGAAACATCACGCCTGTCTTTTTTCTCTACTTAAATCGGGGGGGGACGGACGATGACACACCGTTGCCAAATTATGGCAATGCGGGAGGGAGAAGAGTTATTTATTTATTTAATTAATTCGATTTCTAGCCCCCTCTCCCTGCACAGCAGGCTCAGAGCGGGGTACAACAAGTATAAACGTAGACAATCATAATAAGTCATCAAAACCTACGACATCAGCTGCCAAATTAACTACCAATAGATGGCGGTCTGTGACACAATTAATGGATCCCAACCCAACCTATGTGTGCCATGGATGGAATAACACATGCAAGGGAGTTGGCCACAGTAGACAGAACAATAGACGGAGGAGGGCAGGGGAAGCCAGTGTGGACAATTTACTGCCGCCTCAGCCATAGGCCTGGTGGAACATCTCCATTTTACAGGCTCCAGCAGAGTCCAGATCTCACTCGGGAGAGTGTTCCACCAGGCCGGTGGAGAACCATCTATGCTGCTTTGAGTGTCTTGGATGAAGGGTGGTTTTAAAATGAAAGAAAGACAAGGCACTCGAGATGAGGAGTCAACACAGAAAGCCACCTAGAGGGGCGCATGAGAGAATGGGATGCTGGTCCATACAAGGGACAAGTCATGAGAAGGTGAGATGGGAGACACAAGGGGGGGGGGGAATGTAGTTATAGACAGAGCAATGTAAAGCTACCAGTGTAAAAAAATTAAGACTATGAAATGGAGTCAGAAAACAATAGAAATTTAAAGACACAACATCTTTCCACCAGTGGGAGGCAAAAAAATGTGTTCAAATGAGAAACATTCTGAATGGGTGGCATGGACAATTGTCCTAGATAACAAAGTGGATACAGCAAAAGATTGGGCCAGCGAGAAAGAGACAGTAATAACCATGGCGAGAAACAACGGAGTCATCCTATAATCCCAAATTACCTTGGACAGTCCTGATTTGCTGCCCCATTTTGCAAGGCTATCTCTAACCACTCAAATACCCCTTTTGCTTCCTAAAATCATCTCTGTCAGGCTCATGCTGGAGTTCACCTGATTCTTCTTAGTAGTCCAAACAGAAAAATGTGACACTACTCTTTCCTATAAGCACCTATGGGATGTCATAAATGATGTCACATGATACGTCAATGTCATCTCTGAGTGAAAACCAGGATGTGAAGTCAGCATATCAGTTGACTCTCTGGAATATCCCCAAAACTCTATTCTTTTTTTGGGGGGGGGCAGAGTCCAGAATATCACTTGATTCTCCGCCATCATGTTTTTGCACCTATGGGATGGTTGCTGAATTTGTCTGAATAGCAGCTATTCTAGAAGTATTATCAAGATCCTCAGTGAGATGAAAAGAGAGTGCTTTTTTGGTTCTGGAAAGGAAACTAATAAGATCAGTTTACTAACAAACTCAGCATCAGAAGACAGTGCAGATCATTCCACTGAAGCATAAATGGCAGTAAAGAATATTAGAGATACAGACAGACAGAGACACACAAAGAGACAGAGAGAAAGACATGCGGGGAATGCTACAATGATAGGTATAAAAGAAGGGGGATTCATATCCTTACTTCCATTTGTATTGTGAGCAGGGGTCGTTTCGTAGAAAAAGAGCTAGGGGAACTCATTAGCATAACTCATTAGCATATGCCACACCCCCTGACATCACCGGAAGTGTGTCATAAGGCCACACCCCCCGCCCCCAACAGTCCCGGCCGTCACCGCCGGCCTTGCAGCTCCACTGTCGAGCCACATGAGGGGCCCGGCGGTGGACCTGCAAGGCCGGCGGGAGTGCAAGGAAGCCCCGCGAAGGCCCTCCCTGGCCCCAGGCAGGCAGGGGTGGGGAGAGGCTAATCTCTGATTGTGAGCAATTTGAAAATACTGGAATGGATTTGGAAATTGCAGACCTTGGTAGACAGACGCAGGGAAAGACAGCAGAGAAGGTCAAACATAAGGCTGAGCCTTTGTGCCTCAGAGGCGAATTCAGTATCCCTCATTTCCAGTTGATCACCATCACTGGAAACGCAAGTTGGAGATGGATGGCCAGAAGGCTATCTCAAGAAACATTAGAGAAGACCTGCCCAGCTGTTAGATTTAAATGGCTCTGAGCCATTAAACCCCTCTGTTTTTCTCTCCCCCTCCCTGGAAACGGGAGGGGAGCAAAAGGAATTGCTGAAATGGTTTGCATCTATTTCAGCCTAACAGCTGATGAGTGCACTAGCTTGTCAATGGATGCAAGCCATTTCAGCAATCCCTCTCGTTGCCCCCCCCCCCCGCGCTTCCCATCACGAGCCACAC